TATCTGTGGAAAGACCAGGGTGGGACAAAGGACTTTTGTCTGCTGGAGCTAGGTGTGAATGTTTCAACTGATATTTATGTATTGTTTCTTTTTTTTATGTGAGAGTAGATCTGGAAGGCTCATGTCTCTGGGAATGCATTGGATTTCCTGGCAGCTCTAGAAAGGAACTTAGCGTGTTATGGTGGTTAGGGAGATCCACAATCAGTGTTTCCTTACATTTGTTTTATCTGCTTGGTTGAGTGCCACTCTGTGAAAGATTGTGCCAAAGCTGGATTGCTGTATTCTGGTTGGTAACAGAGAAAACAGCAGCAAAACTTCCAGGGGGAAAAATGTGACCAGAAACCTCAAGGATCTTGACTAACTGCCATGGATAATTTATTAAGTACAGGAAAACTCTGTCCCCAAACATAGCCCTCGTTGGAGTTGACTTGATGATGCTTACGCACCTTCTCCAAAAATGAAATGCATCCGTATCTGTGCAAGAGGCACACTATATTGAGGGCTTATTGTGCATCCAGGATGCACATGGCTAATTTTTTTTGTCGTGTCAGGAGTGACCTGAGAAACTGCAAGCCGCTTCTGGTGTGAGAGAATTGGCCGTCTGCGAGGACGTTGCCCAGGGGACGCCCGGATGATTTGATGTTTTATCATCCTTGTGGGAGGCTTCTCTCATGTCCCCGCATGAGGAGCTGGAGCTGATAGAGGGAGCTCATCCGCCTCTCCCCAGATTCGAACCTGTCACCTGTCGGTCTTCAGTCCTGTCGGCACAGGGGTTTTAACCCAAGACAGCTGTGTGGATTGGGACTGGAATTGCGCGTTGTGATCCCCAGGCCCAATCCACACAGCGCCCACAGCTGGAAAGACACGGGTCTTTCCAACTGTCAAATTACTTTGGCACTAATCAGGGTTTTCCTGCTTTGTGCCGAAGGAATTCGTTTTTACCTGAGACGTTGTTTGGACACCCCAGGTAAAAATGTGGGAGGGTGTGCATTTTCCACCATGTGTGGATGCTCCCAGTCCTTTTCAACATGAAGGAAGTATGATGCTGTAAAAAATGCTAAATACAAAGTATAGCTTCCATGTTGGTGAGGATGCATTTCTTTTGGTCTCCTAAAGTGGCAGGGAGAGTATTCATACTCGGGAGATGGGCATTTATGGGTGTGAAGCAGAGGACTAGATGATTTTTCAAATTATAATCCAACCCTCCAATAGTTTGAGGGACTGTGACCTGGCCCTCTGTTTAAAAAGTTTGAGGACCCCTGCCTTAGAGACTAACTCTGAGAATGAGGTTAGTGGCATAAGCTTTCATATGGCTGAGTCTACTTCCTTACCATCTTTGCTAGTCTCTAAGGTACTACAAGATCCCTTTGTATGGTGGTATTCTAGACAACCATGGCTATTAGGGCTGGGCGGTTTCGTTCGTTAATTTCGTAATTCGTTATTGATTCGTATTTAAATTAGCTTACGATCCGATATTGAGCCATGCAGGAGCAACTAAAAATCGAAACGAATTTTTCAATTTATTTCGTAATTGTTTCGTAATTGGTTCGAAATCTTTTCGAAATCGTTTCGAAATCGTTTCGTTATTATTTCCGTATGTCTGGTGCAAGTTTTATAGTTGTTGTTTGTTTTATCAGTGATAAAAAAAAAATTTATCACACCAACAGTCAACAACAGAGGGAGAGGGAAGCTTCAGAAGTTCCCCCTGTTCCATTTGGAGGTTTTTTTAGCATATTGCGCAATCGCGTCCGCCATTAACGAATCGATTCGTAATTATACAAAATTTCGTAAATTTCGAAATTTTTAAAAGGAAAATATTCAGAATTCTTTTAAAAAACGAAACGCAATGGACCCCCTAAAAACGAAACGAGTTTAGAAACAAATTTTTCCGTTGTTACCCAGGCCTAATGGCTATGATATTTATCTTTTGCCTTCCAGAACCAAAAGGCTGGTAAATAATGACCAGATAAGGTTTTAAGGGATAATAGCATATTTGGTGTAAAGATTGAAAAGATACCTGGATTTACAGAAGTATAGAGAAATGTACATTGTCGTGTTGAATATCTCTCTGCCCCGGAGTGTGGTGGAGGCTCTTTCTTTGGAGGCTTTTAAACAGAGGCTGGATGGCCATTTGTCAGGGGTGATTTGAATGCAATATTCCTGCTTCTTGGCAGGGGGTTGGACTGGATGGCCCATGAGGTCTCTTCCAACTCTTTGATTCTATGATTCTATGATCTTGTAGCAAAGAAACTGTCCAACCCAATGCATATTCTCAGCATTGGAGAACACCATAGTGGAGAGTTGTCATCTCATGGCTGTTGAAAACAGGGCTGATCTGTATACTGCTGCTCCATCTAATTTTCTGAATTGTCATAAAAACCAGGCCAAAACTACACTCCTCCATAATTTGAGTGAGTGCATTCCATTGTGTTTGCACTCACAAGGCTATTACATTTCTTCACTATATTTTCATTCCCATTTTCCTCCCCTTTCTGCTCTGGCCTCATTTGTCCATGCTGCTGTTTCATCCTACTGACTGTCACCACCCACATAATTTCCTTGCTGATGTCATAATGCCACCTTTGCTATGGTGGCAAAGAACGATCCATGGGCAACTACAGCCAACAGAATTAAAGGGCAAGGCAAAGGCACTGAGGTCCCATCTACACTGCCATATACAATCAGATTACCTGCTTCAAACTTGATTATATGGCAGTGTAGACTCAAATAATCAAGTTTAAAGCAGATAATGGGGATTATCTGATTTGATAATCTGGATTATATGGCACTGTAGATCCAGCCTGAGAGACCAGGTGAAGAACAAAAAAGCACCAAGCGCAGAACAACTGGCTGCTTTCATAGTAAGAAAACAGGAAAGTATTTGGTCATTTATTCAGCTTTCAAAGCAAATATTTGAATTTTCTCTAATAGTTTTTGACATATCTCTCTTTTTTATGCTGCTGTTTCCTTCCTATGTAAGCTTGTCTTAACAAACACGTATTCTGCCTGCTTAGATTTAATGCCAGGATGGATATAAGACACAGTTTTAACAATCCATGCTTTTTGTTATTAATATTGCATGTCAGACCACTTCCTTTTTGTGAGTGTTTTAAACATTGCACATCCATTTTGACTAAATCACATAGTCTGGCAAATGGTATTTTGGCTGTATTGTCGAAGGCTTTCATGGCCGGAATCACTGGGTTGTTGTAGGTTTTCCGGGCTATATGGCCATGTTCTAGAGGTATTTTTCTCCTGACGTTTCGCCTGCATCTATGGCAAGCATCCTCAGGCGTAGTGAGGTCTGTTGGAAGTAGGAAAATGGGTTTATATATCTGTGGAATGACCAGGGTGGGACAAAGGACTCTTGTCTGCTGGAGCTAGGTGTGAATGTTTCAACTGACCACCTTGATTAGCATTTAATGGCTTGGGAGTGCCTGGGGGAATCTTTTTTGAGAGTGATTGATGTGCCTGGTTGTTTCCTCTCTGCTATTTTGCTGTTGTAATTTTAGAGTTTTTTAATACTGGTAGCCAGATTTTGTTCATTTTCATGGTTTCCTCCCTTCTGTTGAAATTGTCCACATGCTTCTTGTGTATTTCAATGGCTTCTCTGTGCAGTCTGACATGGTGGTTGTGAGAGTGGTCCAGCATTTCTGTATATTCTCAAATAACATGCTGTGTCTAGGTTGGTTCATCAGGTGCTCTGCTATGGCTGACTTCTCAGGTTGAATTAGGCTGCAGTGCCTTTCATGTTTATTGATTCGTGTTTGGGCAATGCTGCGTTTGGTGGTCCCTATGTAGACTTGTCCACAGCTGCACTGTATACAGTAGACTCCTGCAGAAGTGAAAGGATCCCTCTTGTTCTTTGCTGAATGTAATATTTGTTGAATTTTCTTAGTGGGTCTGTAGATATTTTGTAGGTTGTGTTTCTTCATACCCACCAAGAAAATCCAACAAATGCTAACACTCAGCATTTTATTTGAGAACACAGAAATGCTGGACCACTTGCAACAACCACCATGTCAGACTACACAGAGAAGCCATTGAAATCCACAAGCATGTGGACAATTTCAACAGAAAGGAGGAAACCATGAAAATGAACAAAATCTGGCTACCAGTATTAAAAAACTCTAAAATTACAACAGCAAAACAGCAGAGGGAAAACAATCAGGCACATCTAATCACCTCTCAACAAAAGATTGCTCCAGGCACTTCCAGGCTATCAAATGCTAATCAAGGTGGTCAGTTGAAACATTCACACCTAGCTCCAGCAGACAAGAGTCCTTTGTCCCACCCTGGTCTTTCCACAGATATATAAACCCATTTTCCTACTTCCAACAGACTACCTCTGAGAATGCTTGCCATAGATGTAGGTGAAACGTCAGGAGAAAAATGCCTCTAGAACATGGCCATATAGCCCGGAAAAACCTACAACAACCCGGTATTTTTGCTCTCAGTACTTTCGAGTGTGGTCCATTACCTGGTTCTGCTTTACCAAGGACCATTGAATGACCATGTCTACTGAAGTTATGAGCACGTTGGCTCAAGACATACATGATAGACCATGATTAAGATAAAAGTGGAATTCCAGCATCTCTGAATTAATTAATGTCATTGCAAAAACTGGGCAGAGGCTATCACCCACTTTTTTTGTCATGTCAAGAGCGACTTGAGAAACCGCAAGTCACTTCTGGTGTGAGAGAATTGGCCGTCTGCAAGGACGTTGCCCAGGGGACACCTGGATGTTTTGATGTTTTACCACCCTTGTAGGAGGCTTCCCTCAAGTCTCTGCATGGAGAACTGGAGCAGATAGAGGGAGCTCATCCGTGCTCTCCCCGGATTCAAACCTCCAACCTGTCGATCCTACTCCTACTATCACCTACTGATAGTACTGAAACCCAGTTTCTCAGCAGACATGGGTCTCCGCTATTTGTTTTTTTAAACTGCAATAATGTTCTTCAATCTTCCATTAGTGCAGTGGGTCTCAACCTGTGGGTTTCCAAGAGTTTTGGCCTACAACTCCCAGAAATCCCAGCCAGTTTACCAGTTGTTAGGATTTCTCGGAGTTGAAGGCCAGAACATCTGGGGACCCACAGGTTGATAACCACTGCATTAGAGTATGTTTGCATTAGAAGTGTCCTTCAAGTTGTGTCAAGAAATTCTGGTGTGTGTGTGTGTGTGTTACAGGGGGCTTTCTCATCAGAATCACTCCAGCCAAGCATTCTTCAAAGAGTCACTATTAATTACTCAAGCAGCATGTAACCACAGGCTAGATATATGCAACCCTCGTAATCCGTGCTTGGCTAGCATACCACAAAGAGTTTGCCGTTTCTTTTCAGATTAGCCTGAAAATGCTCCTTTCAGATGCTGACACGAAGGGATTCTCAAAAACAGAGGTGATCGAAGTAGTCCACAGGCTGTGTGATGCCCAACTAGAGCCACTTTTGGGAGCACAAAGGGTTAAAAATAATTGTCAAAATACTCTCTAGGGCAGTGGTTCTCAACCTGTGGGTCCCCAGGTGTTTTGGACTACAACTCCCAGAAATCCCAGCCAGTTTACCAGCTGTTAGGATTTCTCGGAGTTGAAGGCCAAAACATCTGGGGATCCACAGGTTGAGAACCACTGCTCTAGGGCACTCAGAAAACTATTTTAGATCCAAGGGAGACCTTTTAAAAACTAGGAGTAAACTGGTCACTTCTTTTTTTAAAAAAAAAAATCTCCCTGGTCCAGGAAATCCTTAAAATTCAACAGTTTTCCTTAGAGAGTGTTGAGGGAGTATGTCTAGACTATTTTTTTAGTTTATGGCAGTGGGGATTTATGGGGGGGGGGCATCCTACCACAGTCTTCTAGGGGTCAGTGCAATCCCCTATCCTCTGCTCTAAAAAGAGAGTTTTAAACTCATAGGAGGGGAACTGCACCTTCATGTCAAGGTCTTATGTGAGTCACGTGTGTTGAACCTTCACATCTGCAGTAGAGATGGAGATGGTGCCTTGGTCCAGTTGTGCTAACACAATGAATAGGAATTTGCTGATACATAACCAATCGCTGTTGGGCTTAACACCTCTTCCTAGCTGAGTGCTTCCCTGAAAAGTCTTGAATAACTTCCCAGAATCCAGGCCAGGTAATTATATGACTGTGGTTCTCAACCTGTGGGTCCCCAGGTGTTTTGGCCTACAACTCTCAGAAATCCCAGCCAGTTTAGTTTTGGCCTACAACTCTCAGAAATCCCAGCCAGACCCCACACGATCCCTTCAATCATCCGGAGAGGCCCTGCTCTCGATCCCACCAGCCTTGCAGGTGCGTTTGGTGGGGACGAGAGAGAGGGCCCTTTTAGTGGTGGCCCCTCGACTCTGGAACTCACTCCCTAAAGACATCAGACAGGCCCCAACTCTGGCAGTCTTCAGGAGGAGCTTGAAGACGTGGCTGTTCCAGTGTGCCTTCCCGGAATAATGATCCCATAGCACTTTGTCCTCCAAAGCACTTTACATTTCTTTAGGTCTGCTCGTTTGCCCTTCCACAAACACCCCTATCACCTTTTTCGTCCATGCCCCAGCATCACTTCCAATTTTAATTTTACATTTGGCCTTCCCACTGTTTTTAATTGTGTGCTGTCTTATTGATAATGTTGTATATTTTATTGTCTATGTTTTTTTTAACTTGTATTGTTATTGTTATTGCTGTATTGTTGTATTTTGGGCTCTGCCTCATGTAAGCCGCACGAGTCCCTTGGGGAGATGGTAGCGGGGTACAAATAAAGTATTATTATTATTATTATTATCCAGCTGTTAGGATTTCTGGGAGTTGAAGGCCAAAACATCTGGGGACCCATAGGTTGAGAACCACTGTTGTATGAGTTGTCATCAAACAACATCTTAACAACTGAAGCATGAGAACTACTATCTTAATAATAATTCTTCTTGCAATTCTGCATCTTCCCTTGGGGAGATGGTAGCGGGGTACAAATAAATTATTATTATTATTATTATTATTATTATTATTATTATTACCAGCTGTTAGGATTTCTGGGAGTTGAAGGCCAAAACATCTGGGGACCCATAGGTTGAGAACCACTGTTATATGAGTTGTCATCAAACAACATCTTAACAACTCAAGCGTGAGAACTACTATCTTCATAATAATTCTTCTTGCAATTCTGTTTGTGAACCTCCAGATACACATGGGTGTAAGTTCTATGAGATGTTTTAGAAGCTAGAGTGTGCGGCGCTTAATTTCAAGAGCTAAGAAACTAACTAAAGGGCAATATTGCAGCAAAAACAAAGTGGCTGAATTTTTTTTTTCAGTTTTGTGCTGGTGGCTGATGAAGGTAGTAAGGAGAGCTTAATCGCTACCTTGCCGCGTGCTGAGCCTTCCCAGATGTGTGTCGTTGCCGGGAGATTTCTGGATGTCCCCTTGAGGGGGGCACCTCTGAAACTCCGTCGGCCGATCACACTTGGGTCTGTCACCTTCGTGTCTGCCTAGACCAATGATGGGCAACCTTTTGAGTTTGGTGTGTCAATACTCGCCAAAAAACCGAGCATAACTCGAGTGGGGTGTCACTTCGAGAAAAACCCATAATTTCATGATATTTATAGTTTAATAACAAAAATATATTATTGTAATATATAACTGTATTTAATAAACCAAAAACTAATTATTTAACTTACCTGCTTTTTCTATAATGCCATATATCTCGGCATTATAGAAAAATGCTGTTGTAGGAGCTGAGGATGAAATGTCCTTCTTGGGATGCAGCCCCATCTTCTCTGTATGCGGCTGTGTGTCATTGAAAATGGCTACGCGTGTCAGTGCTGACACACGTGTCATAGGTTCGCCATCATGGGCCTAGACAAAGGAGAGGGTTTGCTTCCCTGGCTCAGCAACACGGCTGTCCCCTTGCGAAACTCTCAAGAGACACTTGGAGACACGTCCTCCATCATGTAGTCCCAATTATTCTGAAAAATTATTCTAAAAAAGCTGCACTTTTTCACAAAAAAAGGGAACACATTGAATTTGATTTACAGAAATGGGGTGTGGATCTTAAGAAGGAAAGAGTAGCTAATAAGCAATGAAACAATGGGAGGCTACCCCATCTTCTTAAGCGGAATTGTAAGGTTGAAAGTCAACACAATAAAAGCAAAACGGAGTGAATAATGGCACACACTAAGGTTTTTTTTTATAATTATGTCACACTTTTCCTTAGTCCAATGCTATAAACTTTTGCTTTGTCTGACTACCAAAGCTTGTTCGAAAGCATGCACTTTGTAGGACCTTCATATTTTCTGTGTGATGATTGCCAACATAGTTTATTAAAATAGTAATAATAGTTTATTGCATTACGATATTTTGGATAGCTCAGTGTATGCAGAATATTTACCTAAGTGTCATGGTCATAAACTGGGTTTTATTAAAAGTGGGTATTCCCCCCACCTTGATGTTAAAGAGAGCACACTTTCCAATCGAGAAAGCTTGTTCTTGAAATTTGCAATAGTTCACTTTAGAAGAGAATGTGGTTTAGTGAAAGATGGACAGTCGCCAAGCATGCATTGCTGACTATCAAACATAGGGCCATTGGCAAATAAGTTTAAGAAGGATCTCCAAAAAGATATATATGATCTTTGATGTTTTTGTTTTGTCATTTTGTATTAATGATCTGAAAACCAGGGGCATAATCTTTAGTCTTCCTGCTCTGGTGCATGTCTAAGGGAGGGGGGGGATATGTGTAGACAAGGAAGTATGTGCTTGATCCACAGGGCGATGGTACAGAAGGTCTGCATGGCATTATGGTTTGCCAGCCATGCTATATCATCTCCGATTTGGTACCTGTACTATGAGGACCAGGAGGGGGAAGCTTTGGCAGAAGTCCATGGGACCTCTCCCCACTTTGCCCAGAGCTGGATGCAAAAGGCAAGGGATTGTACCTCAGCTCTTTTAGCTATAGTAATAAAAAAGCTATTCATTTCCCAAAGTCTGTTACCCACCCACCTTGTTTGCATTTCTGCTGTATGTAAAGCTGAAGCATGATTTTTTTTAATCCTTTCAAAAGAGCTCGGGAGGGCATTGTGTGACACGACTAGCATACATTTTCCCCAATGATGTTCGATGTTTCAGTGTGATTGGCTTGGTCATTTATAACTGAATCCAAATGGTGTCCTTCATAAATCTGTTTTAATTAAAAGTCATGTAAGAGCAACAGGAACATACACAAGTATTTGAAGTTTACAAACTACATCTTTGATAAGGGAAAATGGTTTCATGACATATGTATACAGTTGCTATTAAAATGTAATCTATATATTCTATATGATTGTATAATATTTTATACAACGGTACAAATAAAATATTTTTCTATTTATTAAGTTGAAACACAGGGTCGGTTGGTTTGTTAGCTAAGATAAATAACATAAATAACACTGTCAAACAACACATTGGAAGTGCTGACATTTTTTTTTTCTAGGCTGTGAGTTCAATCATGCTGCAGTTCATGCTGTTTGGAGAGATCCCAGTTAAGTTGTTCAGTAGATTAAAATGAATGCATATTTAAACACCATTTAGAAGCCAGTAGTTTTTATTTTGCTAAAGCTTGTTTATATAGATTTGTTACATTTGGCAATATGAAGAAACAGGGGGGGAGGGACAAAGAAAATTTAACACCAATTGCAGCATCTAGATATATAAATGGTCGCTATAAAGAAAAACCCAAGAGTTCTAACAGTTGAAAGCACTGGTGGACCAGAACGGGAGGATAGGTGGGAAGAAATACAAAGGGCAGAACTACATGTCACACTGGATACAGAACTGCCACTGATAACATCATGCCCAGACTGTTTCCTCTTCTGCTGCTCCTCCCATCTTGTAACCTGTGGCCTGCTTTTTGTCATGTCAGGAGCAACTTGAGAAACTGCAAGTCGCTTCTGGTGTGAGAGAATTGGCTGTCTGCAAGGACGTTGCCCAGGGGACGCCTGGATGATTTGATGTTTTTATCATCCTTGTGGGAGGCTTCTCTCATGTCCCCGCATGAGGAGCTGGAGTTGATAGAGGGAGCTCATCCGCCTCTCCCCGGATTTGAACCCGTCGGTCTTCAGTCCTGCCGGCACAGGGGTTTAACCCACTGCGTCACCGGGGACTCCAGTGTGGCCTGCTTACCCTCCCTGTAATGCTGTCCTGTTATGTGGTTCCCACCACAATCCATCAAGCCTGGTGGATAGGGATAAAGAGCCACATAAACATGAGAGAGAGAACATCCCAGCACCATGAATATGTTGCCAACCTTAAGCATTACAGGAGGGAAGGACAACACTTGACAGAGGATGCCATTTCGGCAGGTATCCGCTTGGACATGTAGTTCTGCTCAAAGAATACTATTGAAGAATTTGATCACTTGTGTCTGCTTTTGGTAAGAACAGCATTATGCATGCGTCTGATGAGAACAGCTGACAATGGGAATAGGCAACAGAGAAGGCTCCTAAGGGAAAAGGGAAGGGGTTGACATTAACGTCCAACACTGATGTTACACGTCTTGCAGCTGGGATCTTTCTTAGCATTGGCAGTCGACAAGCTCATTAACTGATGACCAGTAATTTCTGCAACTGTGCCAAGGGAGAGATCCACAGGGTCAGTGTAAATCACTTCCAAGATTACATCCTGGGCATGGTGGTAAACCATGACCCCATCTTCTTCAGTGCAGGTTAAAAAATTGTTATCCTGCAAGTTCAGCTGAGGGAGGCGCTGCTTACAGAATTCATCTCCCGGCGACCCGATGGGTGCGAGGACGAGGATGACGTAGTGGTAAGCCGTGTACATGCAGTAGAAGTCCCCAAAGTACAAGTTGGTATTTGGGTTGAAAAGTTTTTCTGCCATGATCTCAAACCTGTATCTTCCATACGGTGAATCTTGGGGTGGCTTCCCAGTGTTGAATTCAGTGTTGCAGCTAAAGAAGATGCCCTCCAGCTTCCCGCTGATTGGAGAGCCATGGCTCCCACTGTTATCCTTGACTGAAGGCTGCAGAACACTTCCATGCTGCTCTCTAGAAAGGAAAGATGGGCAATGGTTTATTTCACAGTGGCATCAAGCAAGCAAAACATTCGAATATGGCGGAACCATTATCCCAAATGGTGAGCTACAATGGATGAGAGTATTTCAGTTCAAAAGTGGAAGGAAGGCATGGGCAACCCAACAATGTGAACCCAACAATGTGAACCCAACAATGTGTACATCTTCTCCAAATAGGGGGACAAAAAGGTAAGAATTGTAGACCAAGATACCAAATTTGATTTCTAAAATGGCACCAGAGGAGTTCATATTTTCACAGCAGATGCGGATCTTGAATGTCAAGGAATGTAGACAATGCTGAAATGGCACCTGACATATAGCTGTTTTCCCCCCCAGTTAGGATTCTTCTTTATATGATGTTTTTCAGGTGTTCTCTCAAGAAGTTTTAAAACATACCCTTGAAATGCAAAGTGTGACACAGACAAATACATGCATTACACAAGCACATTCAGTTCAGTGAAAACATACGAGGGGTATTTTTTAAGTAAGGTCCGCTTTGTTGTAGACACTAGTAGTTCACGCGCATACCGCAATGAGTGCATGCGTCATGTACCGGCATGCCTCAGGAACAACTGTGCTCAGTTTCTGCCCTGTAGCTAACCTGTACGGTTCTGTTGTGTGCTTTAAAAATGTTTAAGACTATCAACTCACCCTCTGCATGTGAGGTTCGCTCAGTGATACGGTTTTTGTCAGCAAGGAACCTGCCTGCTGCAGAAATTCATCGACAGATTTGTGAAGTATACGGTGATACTGTTATGAGTGAAAGCAAAGTGCGTAAGTGGGTACGACAATTCAAAGATGGCCGTGACAACGTCCATGATGAGGACCGCTCCGGTCGCCCTTCTTTGATTACAGTGAACTCTTGGTTATCGGAGCAGGCGGCAAGTTTTTATGAAGAGGGTATTTTAAAATTGGTTCAGAGGTATGATAAGTGTTTGAACAAACTTGGCAACTATGTCGAAAAATAGAGTGAAGTATGTACTTTCTGAAAATAAATTTACTTTTTTGAAATAAACTTTCGTTGTATACTTATGTTCAAACAGACCTTACTTAAAAAATACCCCTTGTATAATTAGTGGCAAATCTCTCTCTGCTGCCATGTTAAATTTCAAGTAGTCTTGGATCATCAAAAACTCTGGCTGAAGAATTATGACAGCAGATGTGAACATATATCAGAACCCTAAAAACACAATACCAGTAGCACCTCTGAGAAAGATAGGTTTCTGTGCTACCTTCTACCAGGAGACAAAGGGTGCTTTTAGGCCACTATTGTAACTAACTGTTACAAGATAATTGCAGCTAGTCCCTTTTCTCCCCATTATGGACTTTCAACGATAAAGAAACAAGATGTATGAAACAAAGGGAAAACATGGGAGGCCTTCAAATTGAAGAAAATAATCATCTAGTATAGGTTTGGAAATATAAACTGTTGAGATATTTATTTGTTAATGTTAAAATAAGCAGAAGTAAAAAATGTGTTCGATAAAAGTGCAAGAAAAAATACTAAATTACAGAGAAACCAAAAAAGGGAAGCAAGAAATCCAGTTTTAAAATCTATTTCTGTGTATCTGTTTGTAGTTTATACTTATATGTAATTAGAGTAGAGACGTAGTTTGATATGTAATTGCTGTTTGAGTATGTCTATGTTTATGTATGTATAAGTATTATTTTTCTTTGTGTTTTGCCTGTTAATTTTTAAAGAAAAAAATAAGAAAAGGATGATCTGATCTTCTTGGAATAAACAGAAGATAACACATTCAATCCAGAAGAGGAGGAGGAGGAGGAGGTGGAGGAGGAGGAGGTGGTGGTGGTGGAGGAGGTGGTGGTGGTGGTGGAGGAGGAGGAGGAGGGTGGTGGTGGTGGTGGAGGAGGTGGTGGTGGTGGAGGGAGGTAGGTGGTGGAGGAGGTGGTGGAGGAGGAGGAGTGGTGGAGGAGGGGGGAGGTGGTGGTGGAGGAGGAGGAGGAGGAGGAGAGGGTGGTGGTGGAGGAGGAGGTGTGGGGAGGAGGAGGTGGAGGTGGGAGGAGGAGGAGGAGGTGGTGGTGGAGAAGGAGAGGTGGTGTGGAGGAGGAGGAGGTGGTGGTGGTGGAGGAGGAGGTGGGAGGAGGAGGAGTGAGGTGGAGGAGGAGGAGGTGGAGGGGGTGGTGGAGGAGGTGGTGGTGGAGGAGGTGGTGGTGGAGGAGGTGGGTGGAGGAGGAGGTGGAGGAGGTGGAGGGAGGAGGTGGTGGTGGTGGAGGAGGAGGAGGAGGTGGTGGTGGTGGAGGAGGGAGTGGTGGAGGAGGAGGAGGAGGAGGAAGGAAGGAAGGAAGGAAGGAAGGAAGGAAGGAAGGAAGGAAGGAAAGATGATAATCTAAATTCCCCTCAAAGCTTAGTACATTGGGAAAGGGGGTCTGAAGTCAAAATGAAAGAGCAGTTTCAAAGCAACTCAAGCACCTTTTTCTCTAAACTATGAAAAATTCTACTCACATCCCTCTTCCCCAAATGTGTGGCAAATTGACATTCTCCTTCCTTCCCCATTATATTTCTTTCTGACCAGAATCAAACCACTGCTTGCCTTTCCTCATCACTGCATGTTTCTTCTGATTTTTGGTTCCTGTATGTAAAAACCTGTTCCATTTCATTTAAACACTCCCACTTCCAAATATTTTACTTGCTACACACATTGCTATTGATACACATTGCATGCAAACAATGTGTATTAATAGCAAAAAGAACAAAACAGAATGTAGCCAAAATGAAGAGACATGTAGGGTCTAATTGGGGAAAGCACACCATAAATTTAGAGAGGTAAGATTTATTGGTAATCTCTAGGACACACAACTCTACTACTCCTTTCCACCTAATTCCAAGGAAGCCCCTCGGGTGCTGGACGAGTGCCTGGCCGCTGTGGCTGTATGGATGAGGATGAACAAGCTGAAGATTAATCCCGACAAGACAGAGGTCCTCCTGGTCAATCGTAAACCGGATCGGGGTATAGGGTGGCAGCCTTGGAAACGGCCTGGAAATTCCAACTGGTCCAACGGGCGGCAGCCAGGTTGTTAAGTGGTGCTCCTTACAGGGAGAAGTCAATCCTCCTGTTTAAGGAGGTCCATTGGCTGCTGTTCATTTTCTGGACCTAATTCAAGGTGCAGGTGCTTACCTACAAAGCCCTAAACGGTTTGGGACCCGCCTACCTGCGTGACCGTATATGAACCCACACGATCTCTCTGATCATCTGGAGAGCCCCTGCTCATGACCCCACCTGCGTCACAAGTGCAATTGGTGGGGACGAGGGACAGGGCCTTCTCCGTGGTGGCCCCCCGACTCTGGAACTCTCTCCCCAAGGACATCAGACAAGCCCCAACATTGACAGTCTTTAGGAAGAGCTTGAAGCCATGGTTGTTCCAGTGTGCCTTTCCAGAATAGGAAACTCCAAGCATCATGTCCCAAATGCACCTTACTAGAGATTTAAGATTGTCTGCACACCGCACCTATCTCCAAAAACCTATCCATTTCACCTGCCATGCCCAGCATTTTTTAAATTTTTTATCATTACATTTGGCCCGGCCTTAGTTTTAAAAGTGTCATGGTGTTATTGTCTAATGTTTATTGCTATTGCTTTAATTTTTATTGCTTGTTTTATGAGTTTATTTATTGTTGTATTTGTTATGCTGTTGTTTTATTGATGTGTGGGGCCTCGGCCTCTTGTAAGCTGCACCAAGTCCTTCGGGAGATGTTAGTAAAAGGTAAAGGTAGTCCCCTGACATTAAGTCCAGTCATGTCTGACTCTGGGGTGTGGTGCTCATCTCCATTTCTAAGCCGAAGAGCCAGCGTTGTCCGTAGACACCTCCAAGGTCATGTGGCCATCATGACTGCATGGAGCGCCGTTACCTTCCTGTCGGAGCGGTACCTATTGATCTACTCACATTTGCCTGTTTTTGAACTGCTAGTTTGGCAGAAGCTAGGGCTGACAGCGGAAGCTCGCGCTGCTCCCCGGAATCAAACCTGCGACCTTTCGATCAACAAGCTCGGCAGCTCAGTGCTTTAACCCACTGCGCCACCGGGGGCTCCATTCGGGAGATGTTAGCGGGGTATAAATAAAGGATTATTATTATTATTATTATTATTATTATTATTATTATTATTATTATTATTATTTTGCACCCTTGCAATGAAGTGAAACGGCGGTGGCCATAATAATAGGGAATTACTGCAAAAGCATGTGATATCCATAGACATACATTTTCTTTCATGTACCTGTTGGTTTATAAATGTAACTATTCCCCAGTCGACATAGCCTAATGGAGCAAGGAAGAAGGTGAGAGAGGGACCAGAAATGGGAAGGAAGAATCTAGCCAGGCCAATGAGGACTAGGCATGTTCAGTGAGAACAAAATGCTAACACACTGCAGTCTGATGAAGAAATGAGAAACTGGGAAGAGGACATGAAATGCAGCAACCTGTAACCAAAGTGGAAGTGTGTCAAAAATTTGCTGTACCAACACAGAAGCACATAGAGGGTATATCACATCAATAGACAGCACTTGTAAACAAAGCTAATTCTTCACATAAGGGCAAAGGGGGAGAAGACTTTCTCTCCTATGAGAATTCTTGACATTCCACAGCCAAGATGGGCCAAAACTAACAAAATGAAGTTCAACAGTGACAAATGCAAGATACTCCACTTTGGCAGGAAAAACAAAATGCAAAGATAATGAATGGGGGACAATGCCTGGCTCGAGAGCAGTACGTGTGAAAAAGATCTTGGAGTCCTCGTGGACAACAAGTTAAACATGAGCCAACAATGTGATGTGGCGGCAAAAAAAGCCAATGGGATTTTGGCCTGCATCAATAGGAGCATAGTGTCTAGATCTAGGGAAGTACTGCTACCCCTCTATTCCGCTTTGGTTAGACCACACCTGGAATATTGTGTCCAATTCTGGGCACCACAATTGAAGAGAGATATTGACAAGCTGTAATGTGTCCAGAGGAGGGCGACTAAAATGATCAAGGGTCTGGAGAACAAGCCCTATGAGGAGCGGCTTAAAGAGCTGGGCATGTTTAGCCTGAAGAAGAGAAGGCTGAGAGGAGAATGATGATAGCCATGTATAAATATGTGAGAGGAAGCCACAGGGAGGAGGGAGCAAGCTTGTTTTCTGCTTCCTTGGAGACTAGGACGTGGAACAATGGCTTCAAACTACAAGAGAGGAGATTCCATCTGAACATGAGAAAGAACTTCCTGACTGTGAGAGCCGTTCAGCAGTGGAACTCTCTGCCCCGGAGTGTGGTGGAGGCCTTCTTTGGAGGCTTTTAAGCAGGCTGCTGCACGTTGGTCAAGCTGTAATTTCTGGGCTGTCTTCAAGGGTAGCCCCACGTAGAGTGCATTGCAGTAGTCCAGTCTAGAGGTAACTAAGGCATGGACAACTGGCTGAGTGTCAGCTGCATTAAGATCACTCTGACCAAAAGGTCATGAGTTCGAAGCCAGCCCAGGGTTGGAGTGGGTTTCCAACCAATTGTGTGTAGCATGTTGTCGACCTTTGCAACCCGAAAGACAGTTGCATCTGTCAAGTAGGAAAATAAGGTACCACCTTAAAGTGTGGGGAGGCTAAATTAACTGATTTATGAGGCCATAAAGAAGACTCCAGCAAAGCATTCCAGCGGGGAAGCATGTGGGGAATGCGGAAGTGCTTCATCAGCATCGCAGATGGACGATGAAAGCGACACCTCCCCGGCGGCCAGAAAAGTTAAATAGCCTCTGTGTATGCCTGTATATGTTTGTATGTCAAAAATTGGCATTGAATGTTTGCCATATATGTGTACACTGTAATCTGCCCTGAGTCCCCTGCGGATTACAGGGCGAAATATAAAAGCTGTAAATAAAAAATAAATAAATGGATCACCATGGTCAAGTCAGACTTCACGAGGTATGGTCGCAGTTGGTGTATGAGTTTTAGTTGTGCGAAGGTTCTCTCGGCCACCGCCGATACATAGAGGATATATCACATCAATAGATAGCACTTGTAAACAAAGCTAATTCTTCACATAAGGGTAAAGGGGGAGAAGACTTTCTCTCCTATGAGAATTCTTGACATTTCTAATTCTGCTCCTGCTTTCTAAAATCGCTTTTAGAGAAAGCACAGGGCAAACTTCAGATCTTGTTTATCCCTTCCAAACTTCCACCTTTTCTATTGTTCGGAAACAAGACTGGGGAGGAAAGAGCTTCAGACAGATAAAGGGATTGTTTAAATGAGCTAAATATCAAACAGATAAACATCTGTAAAGCAAGGACAACACCCCAAGTATGAAAATAGTCAGGTAATCATTGTTGAATGGCGGAATAGTGACATCCAGTGGCCAGTTAAGCTAATTGTGTGTCAGTTTTTCACACAGAGCAGGTGGCAATACCACACTTCCACTGTACTGACTTGAACACAAGAGCACTTGCTAAATATATGCCAGGCTCAGTAACCAGCAGCCCTTTTAATCTGCCTAACAAGATCATGCTCGTAAACAGACACATTCAATCCACTTGCTGGATTAGGGACCACAAGAATAAATCAGATGGGCATCATGTGCTATGTATTACTTTGAATGGAATGCACATTAGGTTGTGCATCACAATCTTATGCAACTCGTCCCATACTAACATATTACTTAAATGCAACAGGAGATGTATTACGGTTAATGGCTTGGTTTCCAAGAAATGGAATCCTAATGGAGTCATGTGTGTGGGCTGCCAAGATTCTGTGAAGTGCATGTGTCTATATTCTGATGAGTCCAATTTTGGTCTTAATCCAGAAAATATGAAGAAATGAAGAAATGTGGAGTTTGGTCAGTCAAGGCATTCACTCACAATATTAGCTATAGTTAGACTACAACAGGCAAACAAATGTGTTTGCTTTGGGTTTACAGGCCAGGGAGGAAGCAAAAAATAAATAAAATGGTAGAGAATGAGTTACACCTTGGACATAATTGGTTAAACATTAGTTTTTGAAATTCATGATAATCTTGAATGTATAATTATAAATTCATTTTTTCCATCACTAAATGTGGGAAATTTAATTTTTGAGAATAATTATCAGAGATACTTAGTCTGGAGAACAAGCCCTATGAGGAGCGGCTTAAAGAGCTGGGCATGCTTAGCCTGAAAAAGAATCATACAATCATAGAATCAAAAAGTGGGAGGAGACCTCATGGGACACCCAGTCCAACCCCTTGCCAAGAAGCAAGAATATTGCATTCAAATCACCCCTGACAGATGGCCATCCAGCCTCTGTTTAAAAGCTTCCAAAGAAGGAGCCTCCACCACACTCCGGGGCAGAGAGTTCCACTGCTGAATGGCTCTCACAGTCAGGAAGTTCTTCCTCATGTTCAGATGGAATCTCCTCTCTTGTAGTTTGAAGCCATTGTTCTGTCTCCCAGTCTCCAGGGAAGCAGAGAACAAGCTTTCTCCCTCCTCCCTGTGACTTCCTCTCACATATTTATACATGGCTATCATATCTCCTCTCAGCCGTCTCTTCTAAACATTTATTTATTTATTTATTTTATTTCAAAGTTTTATATACCGAGCTTCTCACCTCATAAGAGGGACTCAGCCCGGTTTCCAACCATAAAAACACATACAATCGGTAAAATATCAAAATACACATTACAATAAAACATTAAAAAAGCACATATATTTAAAACTACAGTGGTCAGTCGTCATACTAAAATCGAATATACACCATCTTCCATCCAGATCATTGTCTCATTCTTCGAAGGCTTGTCTCCATACCCACGACTTCACCTGTTTCCTGAATGTCAGGATTGTTGGGGCAGTTCTAACCTCTGGTGGGAGAGAGTTCCAGAGTCATGGGGCCACTACCGAGAAAGCCCTGTCCCTCATCCCCACCAGCCGCGCTTGTGAGGCCGACGGGAACGAGAGCAGGGCCCCTCCAGACGATCTTAGTAATCTTGATGGTTCGTAGGGGAGAATACGTTCTGAGAGGTAACATGCCCAGCTCTTTAAGCTGCTCCTCATAGCGCTTGTTCTCCAGACCCTTGATCATTTTAGTCACCCTCCTCTGGACACATTCCAGCTTGTCAATATCTCTCTTCAAATGTGGACACAGAATTGGACACAATATTCCAGGTGTGGTCTAACCAAGGCGGAATAGAAGAGTAGCATTACTTCCCTAGATCTAGACACTAGGCTCCTATTGATGCAGGCCAAAATCCCATTGGCTTTTTTGCCACCACATCACATTGTTGGCTCATGTTTAACGCTGTCCACGCAGACTCCAAGATCTTTTTCATACGTATTGCTCTCGAGCCAGGCGTCGAGAGCAGTACGTGTGAAAAAGATCTTGTATGAGCAGTACGTGTGAAAAAGGTCGCCTGCTTCAGAAAACTTGTTCATCGTTGGCAGAAATGTATCCAATTGTCTGGTGATTATGTCAAAAAGTGAATAGTGGTAGTTAAAGAGCACATTCTAAGGATTATTTCTGCATTTGATTTATTAAAATAATCTCATCCAAACCCAAGTAACAAAGGTGGAGGCATTACTTTTCATTCAACCCTCGTATCTACATAAACACAAGCCTGGCTACTAATTTCACCAAACAGAATAGCAATTGACAGTCAACATGAATTGAAAGAAATGTTACAACATTCCAATGAATACACATTTTGTGTCATGTGTAGCAACCTAAAATTACTATATTCTTACTTGCTTGGCATGAAGATATTCACCTTTGAATGGTACTGATTTTCTTACCTGATGTAGTCAAAGTATTCTTTGTGCTGGTTTCGATAGAAGACTGAAAACTTCAGCATGCGTCCTGCAATCACTTCCGCTTTCTCCAAAAGCTGTGTTAGGTGAACCTTTGAATAATCTGTGAAATAGAAAGAGCTAGTGAGAAACCAAACACTTATCACTACTCCAGTCCACACTTTTCTTTAAGATGAGACAAGAGGTCAATAAAGGCACTGTAGAACCAGTTACATTTTTAAAAGCTTCCAAAGTAGAATAACACACTTCTTTATAGGACACAGATGCCTGGCCTAGGCCAAGTCTACACGGGCATGGAAACCCACAATTACCCTGAGGTGACTCCTGGCAGATTTCATAACATTCCTGTACTTCGCAGGTTATTTTGGTTTAATATGGTTTTGCCCCACCTCAGGGAGATGCTTGGGAGTTTGGAGTATCCCACGGCTCCAAGGTAATGTGGATAGCTGGATTGGGTGTGATCAGAGGCGGCCCTAGGTATTTTTCAACGGTAAGCAAACAGTATTTTGGTGCCCCCCCCCCCAACAAATCACTTATATTTTCTGTTTGTCGTGTGAGTTTTGTGTGCCATATTTGGTTCAATTCCATCATTGGTGGAGTTCAGAATGCTCTTTGATTGTAGGTGAACTATACATTCCAACAACAACTCCCAAATGTCAAGGTCTGTTTTCCCCAAACTTCACCAATGTTCACATTTAGGCATATGGAGTATTCATGCCAAGTTTGGTCCAAATCCATCATTGTTTGAGTCCACCGTGCTCTCTGGATGTAGGTGAACTACAACTCCCAAACTCGAGGTCAATGCCCACCAAACCCTTCTAGTGTTTTCTGTTGTTCATGTGTGGGATTCTGTGTGGGAAGTTTGACCCAATTCCATTATTGATTGAGTTAAGAATGCTCTTTGATTGTAGGTGAACTATACATCCCAGTAACTACAACTTGCATATGTCAAGGTCTATTTTCCCCCAAGAGCGCCTCAAGAGCGCCCCTGGGCAAAATCAACTATACTGCAAATGCTTACTTTGCGTAATGGCTTGAGCTGCCCCTGGGTGTGATTCAGGCTGCTCTACGGTCCACATGGAGTGCTGTCACCATAACTCTTTGCCTGTGCATATTAAATTAGGGCAGGCATGTAGCGGGGGGGGGGGGGGGGGGGGGGGGGGGGGCTTGGGGGCTTCAGCCCCCCCCCCCCGAAATTCTCATGGTGGTCCACGAGAAGGCCTTACTGGTACATTATTTAAACTGTTATGTTTATTCATATCATGATCTGATCACCATGCTCAATATATCCCATATGCATGGGGGTATTGCGGTAACAATACAAAAGGTTTGCTAGGGTAGACCCTCTTTCACTCAGACTCAGCCCCCCCCCCCCACCCAAAAACAGCCCCCCCTTCCCCCCGAAACCAAATCCTGGCTACGGGCCTGAATTAGGGAAAAGGGGGTGGACTGTGGCTATGTTACAAAACAAGCTCCAAAGCTCAGTGCAAGCTCCTGGCCATCATTGTCTCCCCATTCTGACATCAGCAGAGGTGACCAGGAGGAAAGCAGAAAAATCACCCTTCTCCTTTTCCTGGTTGCATGAGCATCTCTGCTGATGTTGGAAAAAGGTATCCACAATGGCCACAGAGGGTGGAGTGGTAGTTCAGCAGAGTTAATGTGATCTCAGCCCACATAGATTGCGTGGACACCAGTGTAGCACCGCAGCAGGTTTGCCAGATTGTGTGTGCAGATTGCTCCAGATCGGCCATAAATTTACTGGCCAGTATTTATTTATTTATTTGTCGTGTCAGGGCAACCAGTCAATTGTATTACATTTCTAACAGAACAAAACAAACAAACAAACAAACAAACAGACAAAATACAAAATTTGCGAGTTTGGTAGTTGGTTAAATGTCCTTTGACCAGTAACTGGCCACTTGGAGTGCTTCTGGTGTTGCTGCAAAAGGTCCTCCATTATGCATGTGGCAGGGCTCAGGGTGCATTGCAGCAGGTGTTCAGTGGTATATAGAGCAAATCACGTTGGGATGGTCGTGGCGACCTCCGATGATGGTAGAAGGAGAGACAGTCTCTAAGATACAATGGACACTGGCCAAATAAATTTTAAAGGTCAGGACCAGCATCTTATACAAACCACAATATTCAATTGGGAGCCAGTGTAGATGCCGCAGCACTGGTGTTATATAACATTTCATGGGCATTTTTGTGAGTAACCTGGCTGCAGCATTCTGGACAATACGGAGCTTTCAGGTCGTAGAAATAGGAAGGCCAACATACAGAGCGTTACAATAGTCTAGCCTAGATGTGACCGTGGTATGGATGACTGTTGCCAGAGCCTCATCCGACAGGTAAGGTGCCAGTTGCCTCGCTTGTTGTAGATGGAAAAAGGCCTGTTTGCTGCCAGCAGCGACCTGATCCTCCATCGTCAGCTGCGAATCCAAAACGACACCTAGGCTCTTAATGGTAGGCAATGGAGATAGAGCAGTGCCATCAAACGTAGGTAACGGATGGGTCGGACCTATTGGGCGGCCATGCCACAGGATCTCAGTCTTCGCCGGATTTACCTTCAGTCTGCTAGCACATAGCCAGTTCGACAGAGCCTCCAGGCATAAGGTGAAATTGTCAGGTATTGACGCTACTCCAGGCTCCAAGCGCAACAGGAGTTGGGTGTCATCCGCATATTGATAGCAGTAGTTCGGGACTAACCAGGAGTACTTCTGTCTAGTCTGGATTCAATTTCAATTTGTTCGCCCTCATCCAGATTGCCAGAGCTGCCAAACACCGCTTCAGGACATGAACAGCCTCCTTAGTAGGAGGTGGAAAGGAGTGATAGAATTGGACGTCATCTGTGTACAGATGGCATCAAACTCCAAAACTCTGGATGATCTCCCCCAGTGGCTTCATGTAGATGTTAATATGGGGGACAGTACTGAACCCTTTGGGACCCCACAGGACAAAGGCTGTGGGGCTGAGCAGGTGTCCCCCCAACAAGACCTTCTGAGAGCGATCCTCCAAGAAGGACTGGAGCCACTGCAAAACATTCCCACGAGGCATCTCAGAAGGATACCATGGTCTACAGTATTCAAGGCTGCTGAGAGGTCCAAGAGAACCAACAGGGACAAACTCCCCCTGTCAAGTTCCCTGCATAGATCACCTACTAAGAAGACCAAAGATGTTTCAGTTCTATGTCCCAGCCTAAAGCCAGACTGCAACAGGTTCAGATAATCAGTTTCTTTCAAGAACGTCTGGAGTTGCAAGGCAACCAAAATAGAAATTCATGAGCTTGATTCATATTGTGATGCATATGCATGCACAGAATGGTGTGAGCTGGGAGATGTACATGTTCCAAATAAAACCAAGCAAAGAGATTTTCAATTATTTGAGTTCTTCTTATTATGGAAGGCAGATTCCAGATTCAACTTGAAGTGTGAAAAGTCATGATGTAAAAGTCCAGTTGTTCCGAGTGGGAATGAATATCTAATGTGTGATGAGAACCGATTTAAATCTCTCTCCCGAACTACTTATACCAGGTGAACACAATAGACATTAATTTCTTGAATTTTATTCAGGGTGTTTTAGTACTCAGTAAACTGACCTAATGTTCAGAGAAGTGCATTGTGAATGTAGTTCTATAAGCAACAGCAATCAGTATTATGGTTATAATGACATAGTTTCCTGAAATGGCTATATTATTTTAGAAAGGCACAGTTTAGGAAAATGTACATCTTTCTGCTAAAGTGATAATCATACACAGAACTGATGAGAGAATTTAATGATGTGTCCTGGAACAAATGGATGTCATAAATCTATATAAATAAAAATGTAATGTTCGTTTGTGGGATTAACAGAACTCAAAAACCACTCGACGAATTGACACTAAATTTGGACACAAGACACCTAATAAACCAATGTATGTCCTTCACTCAAAAACATTTATTTTGTCATTTGGGAGTTGTAGTTGCTGGGATTTATAGTTCACCTACAATCACAGAGCATTCTGAACCCCACCGACAATAGAATTGGGCCAAACCTCCCACACAGAACCCCCATGTGGGCCACAGCAACGCATGGCAGGGGACAGCTAGTCTATATAAATAAAAATGTAATGTTCGTGTGTGGGATTAACACAACTCAAAAACCACTGGATGAATTGACACCAAATTTGGACACAACACACCTATCAGACCAACGTGTGTCCACCACTCATAAAAAGATTGAAAAACACAGCAGAAGTGACTTAAGAAGCCAAAAAACAAAACAAAAAAACCATTACAATGCATGCGCAAAACCACATATATACACAAACACACATACACAAATATATACACACATATATATGCATATATATACACACACAACACATATACACAGAAAGGGGAAGGAAGGAAAGAAGAAGGGATAGAAAGAGGGAAAGAAGGAGGGAAGGAGAGAAGAAAATAAAAAAGTGAAAGAAGGAAGGAAAGAGAGAGGGGAGGGAGGAAGGAAGGAGAGAAGGAACAAAAGAAAGAAAGAAAGAAAGAAAGAAAGTAAGAAAGAAAGAAAGAAAGAAAGAGGGGAGGGAGGGAGGGAGGGAGGGAAGGAAGGCAGGAAGGAAGGAAGGAAGGAACCAAAGAGCAAAGGGAGGAAAGAAACAGGTAGAGAAGGAAGAAAGAAAAAGGGAAAGAAGGAGGAAAAGAAAAAGAGGGAGGGAAGGAAAGAGGGAGGGAAGGAAGGAGAGAAAGAAAGGAAAGAAAGAGGGAGGGAAGGTTTGGCCACAGTCACTCATAAAAACACTGAAAAACACAGCGGAAGAGACTTAAAAAACAAAAACAAAAACAAAAACATTACAACGCATGTGCATAACCACATAAATACACATATACACAAATATATAAATACACACATACACACACACACACAAAACACATATACACAGACTAGGCCACAGCAACGTGTGGCAGGAGACGGCTAGTAATAGATAGATATGTAGCCCTCCATAAACTAGAATGAAACAGCCAGAAAATATTTGGCTTGCTGTCTGTAGATTGCAAATTTTCAAAACAGAGAGCTCACCTGCTGTACAGAATTCGATGATTTCACTCCACTCTGAAACCATGTAATCGCCATCAACTTGCTTTGACGCAGTCTGTACAGCCACTGTATACTCGGTTCTTGGGCTCAGAAACCAGTGTCCACGAACAGTCATTGGCAAAGGGACAGCTTTGGCCACTAGTTTTGTGGGCACATCCTAATTGGACAGGAAAAAAAAGGAGGGAGAAAGATCAGAAACATAGACAACAACAGTTACTAATATTATCACAACCACACCTACTTTGACCACTGGAGTTATAGGAGCATAGAAGTGGAGGTTGCTTCATAGGCCCTTAAGTCCAAGCTCAATAGATATCTTGAGCAATGATCAATCTATCAGGAACTGGGAAACTGATGTTTCTGTTTGATGTTTTGTCTTATGTCTGATATAACAGTCTGCATTTTTTATTTAATTTTAGTTAAGTCATAATTTGTTTTTATATGTTGGATTGCCAAATTTCATTACTATGGATGTATTGTTGTTGTGTTTGTCTTTTATGCTTGGATCTGCCCTGAATCCCTCCATTGTATGAAGACATAGTAGCACCATCTGTTGTCGCGCAAAAGCTGCAGGCATCGGTTACATGGAATAGATTCTTGTGGGTTTTTTCGGGCTATAGGACCATGTTCTAGAGGCATTTCTCCTGACGTTTCGCCTGCATCTATGGCAAGCATCCTCAGAAGTAGTGAGGTCTGTTGGAATTAGCCTGGATTCTTTTTGCACGGTCTGCCAAGGCTTTAATGGTGCTTCTTTTTTGACTTGGGTGATAGTTGGAGTTTTTATGTAGATATCTATCTGTGTGTGTGGGTTTTCTGTAGACGGTGTGACCCAATTGTTGATCTGGTTTGCGGATGACTAGGACATCTAGAAAAGGCAGTCTTCCTTCATTTTCTTTTTCCATTGTGAATTGGATTTTTGGGTGGATGCTGTTAAGATGGTCCAGGAACCTGTTGAGTTCTTCTTCTCCATGGCTCCAAATGGTGAAGGTGTCATCCACATATCTGAACCATATCGTGGGCTTTTTGGTTGCTGTCTCCAGGGCTTGTTTTTCAAAGTGTTCCATGTAGAAGTTAGCTATGACCGGGCTGAGAGGGCTCCCCATAACTACTCCATCTTTCTGTTCATAGAATTCATTGTCCCACTGAAAGTAACTGGTGGTGAGGCAATGGTGAAACAGAGCCGTGATGTCTTCTGGGAACCTCTGGTTGATGAGTGCCATGGTGTCTGCTACCGGGACCATGGTAAATAGAGATACCACATCGAAGCTGATCAGTTTGTTGTTGGTATTTAGCTTGAGATTGCTGATTTTTCTATGAAGTGGGCTGAGTCCTTGATGTAGTGTGTAGTGAGCCCAATATGGCTTTGTAACTGTGCAGCAAGAAATTTTGCTAGGTCGTATGTGGGGGATCCAATGGCACTCACGATGGGTCTGAGTGGGGTGGAGTCCTTATGGATTTTTGGGAGTCCATAAAGCCTGGGTGGAAGGGCTTCCGATTTACATAGCTGTTGTCGTATGTCAAAGTTGATTGAGGAGTTCTTAATCAGAGTGTTGGTTTTCCTGGTTATTTTGGAAGTTGGGTCTTGCTTGAGTTTTTTGTATATAGTAGGGTCCAGGAGTTTTCTGATCTTCTCCTTGTATTGTTCTGTATGCATGATTACTGTGGCATTCCCCTTGTCTGCTGGCATAATGAGGATATCAGGATCTGAATTGAGGTCTCTGATGGCTTGTCTTTCCTTCCTTGTAATGTTACTGGAGGGAAGTTTTGCCTTTTTCAGGATCCTTGCTGTTTCCGCTCTTACTTCTTCTGCTTCTTCCTCGGGAGGCGATAAATTGCTGATTCGACATTGGCAATGATGTTTTCTACTGGGATCCTGGTGGCGGTTACAGCAAAGTTTCCTCCTTTCGCTAGTATGGATACTTGGTCTTCAGAGAGTTGTCTGTCTGTCAGGTTGATGATGGTCCGTGATGTATCCAGTTCTGGTTTCGGCTGTTGCTTTTGGCGTTTGTGGAATTTTTGTTTTTGTCTGTTGGTGTGGACAGCCATGTTTTTCTCCATTTTCCTGTAAGTGAGGTTGTCTATTTTGTCCCAGTCCTGGGAATTCATCTTCTGGCTGATGTTGATATGGAGGTGCAGCAGTTCCTTGTCTGTGTTTGCGAGTTCTTTGCGGATGGTGTGAATTCTCTCTCGTAAGAGGTTGCGTTCTAGGCGGTCATACATGGAATACTTTATATTTCAGAATGCATGGAATTCTAGGGACCACCACCCTAGTTTCTTTCATAGTACAGAATGCAAATATAAATCTATGTGATACAAGTTCACTCCTGCCAGCAACAGAATCCCGACTTTGGAGTGGAATATTGCAACTCCTGCCAGGAGATTTTAGGCATCCCTTCTCCTAAAGCATTAAAGGCTTTAAATGCAAAATACAAATGTGGCTAATTGATCCAGATCCATTATTTATGGAAATGAGGAGGTTTAACGAGTTTGTTCTGAAAGTTAATGTATACCACTGAAGAAAACTAAAGAGGTAAAAGCAATAATAATGTAATGAAATAATTTATATTTTAGTTATATGGTATGTCCTCATATTACTGTTTCAAATCAGAATTGTATCAATCACCTGTTTGAGACCAAGGCACAAAATGTTCTTTTGCATGGATATGCTGGAGTTTTTAAATTCACATTGAAAACCCCCATAAAATTGGAATATAAAATATCTCTAGAACGAATCCATCCACTTGGAAGGCAAATTGCTATGTCTGACAAAGCCTGTGTTTAAAATGACAGGGAATAAGCTGAGGAGCTGTTACATTTTTTAAAAAGCAGTCTGTGTAAAAGCAAGTTCTATTATCTTGCCAAGTCAATCCAACACAAATCAACCCAAGTCTCTCAGATCCAGTTTTACACACACTGATTCGTATCCAAAGGAAGATCATCATACAAAACAGGAGCTTTTTTGTTGAGTTCCAGGGCCAGAGAAGTAGATGGCGGAAACAGAAGAATGGACTGCCTCAGGGAAGCATGCTTGCTTCATCCATGTTCAACATCTACACAAATTACCAGCCACTGCCAGAAGGGACAGAGAGCTTCATCTATGCTGATGATCGTGCCATTACTGCTCAAGCAGGGAGCTTTGAGATAGTTGAACAGAAGCTCTCCAAAGCTCTAGGTGCTCTTACTGCCTATTACAGGGAAAACCAACTGATCCCTAATCCATCTAAAACACAGACATGTGCTTTTCATCTCAAGAACAGACAAACATCCTGAGCTCTGAGGATTACCTGAGAAGGAATCCCACTGGAGCATTGCAGCGCACCCAAATACCTGGGAGTCACTCTGGACCCTGACCTACAAGAAGCACTGCCTGAATATCAAGCAAAAAGTGGGTGCTAGAAACAATATCATACGAAAGCTGACTGGCACAACCTGGGGATCACAACCAGACACCGTGAAGACATCTGCCCTTGCGCTATGCTACTCTGCTGCTGAGTATGCATGCCCAGTGTGGAACACATCTCACCACGCTAAAACAGTGGATGTGGCTCTTAATGAGACATGCCGCATTATCACGGGGTGTCTGCGCCCTACACCACTGGAGAAATTATACTGCTTAGCCGGTATTGCACCACCTGACATCTGCCGGGAAGTAGCAGCCAATAGTGAAAGGACCAAGGCAGAGACATCTCCAGCTCATCCCTTGTTTGGGTATCAGCCAGCACGTCAACGACTTAAATCAAGAAATAGTTTTCTTAGATCTACAGAGACACTCGCTGGAACACCTCAGCAAGCGAGAGTCCAAAAGTGGCAGGCTCAAACCCAGAACCTCAACCAATGGCTGATACCAAATGAGAGACTCCCCCCTGGGCACACAGAAGATTGGGCGACTTGGAAGGCGCTGAACAGACTGCGCTCTGGCACCACGAGATGCAGAGCCAACCTTCAAGAAATGGGGCTACAAAGTGGAATCCACGACATGCGAGTGTGGAGAAGAGCAAACCACAGACCACCTGCTGCAATGCAACCTGAGCCCTGCTACATGCACAATGGAGGACCTTCTTGTGGCAACACCAGAAGCACTCCAAGTGGCCAGATACTAGTCAAAAGACATTTAATCAATTACCAAGCTTGCAAACTCTGTGTCTTTTGTATGTTTGTTTGTTCGTTCTGTCAAAAATGTAATGCAACTGTTTGGTTGCCTGACATGATAAATAAAATAAATCATACAAACAATAGTTTTGGAATGGGTTTTTTTGACATTTGGTCCTTTGACGCAAATACCTGGAGTCCAAAGTCTGTGATACTTAAAAAGGAAGATGTTCTTTCTATTTAAAATTATTTTTTTAAGCACTGCATTGTTTTTGGTGATACATTGCTCTTTCTAGTACTTGGTCATGACAGCAAGGAATGATAGCAGCTGTTCTAGCTTTCGACAGCTCATCATTTAGCCGACAGAGATCAGGACTTTCTTGCCTAACTGCCCCACTTGATCAGCTATAATAATCTCTGTGAATTTACTTAATCCAAACCAGATTTTATATGGGCTCAATTACATGAAGCTGACTTGACTGCAAATAAAAATAGCTACAAAGTAACAGGGTCAGGAGACTAGGAGATTTGCTGCTGTTTTGTAACATGAATTGCATTTTTTTTTACTATTATGCAAGTGGGAGAATCTTCCATTAGCTTGCAGAGCACCACAATATTCTTCTAAGTCTTTATAGTTGACCTAGAACAATGCTTCCTTAATTCCTGCACCCAGGAACATCTTCTTTACTTAAGGGACATAGACAATATAGAGTGCATTGAGTGCTACCAGTATGCAGATGATACCCAGCTACTCTTGCGTCTTGAACCTGGGACAACCGTGATTCCTGAGAACTTTAGGCTGTGTTTGGAAGCAGATGAGTTGGCTGACTAAAAGTGAATCCTGCAAAAACTGAGATACTCTAGCCCGGCCAGTCGCCAGAATTAATCCAGTCTCTGCCTGATTTCAATGGGGAAGTTCTGGTTCCGTCTGCCACTGTTAAAAGCCTTGGGGTTGTGTTGGACTCATCTCTGATGATGGAGGCCCAGATCACTGCCATAAGTAAGCAGGCCTTTTTTCATCTTCGCCAGGCAAGGAAATTGGCATCCTACCTTTCGGTAGAAGCATTG